GAGTGGTGGGGAACTGGACCGGGCGCTACGAGCAGGGCACGAACCCATCGGCGTGGGCCGGTTCGGTGGAGATCTTACTGGGATACCACCGGAGCGGGGCCCCAGTACGCTATGGGCAGTGCTGGGTGTTCGCGGGGGTCATGACGACCGGTAAGGGGGTTATACTGGTTTATACTGGTTTATACTGGTTTATACTGGTGTATACTGGTTTATACTGGGGGGTAATGGGGTTATAATGGGGTTATAAGCGGGGGCCCCAGTACGCTATGGGCAGTGCTGGGTGTTCGCGGGGGTCATGACGACCGGTAAGTGGGGTTATACTGGTTTATACTGGTTTATAATGGGGTATAATGGGGTTATAATGGGGTTATAATGGGGTTATAAGCGGGGACCCCAGTGCGCTATGGGCAGTGCTGGGTGTTCGCGGGGGTCATGACGACCGGTAAGTGGGTTTATACTGGTTTATACTGGTTTATACTGGTTTATACTGGTTTATACTGGTTTATACTGGTGTATACTGGTGTATACTGGTTTATACTGGGGGGTAATGGGGTTATAATGGGGTTATAAGCGGGGCCCCAGTGCGCTATGGGCAGTGCTGGGTGTTCGCTGGGGTCATGACAGCGGGTAAGGGGTTTATACTGGTTTATACTAGTTTATACTGGGTTATAATGGGGTTATAATGGGGTTATAATGGGGTTATAATCGGGTTATAAGCGGGGCCACAGTTCGCTATGGGCAGTGCTGGGTGTTCGCTGGGGTCATGACAACGGGTAAGGGGGTTATACTGGTTTATACTGGTTTATAATGGGGTATAATGGGGTTATAATGGGGTATAATGGGGTTATAAGCGGGGCCCCAGTTCGCTATGGGCAGTGCTGGGTGTTCGCTGGGGTCATGACGACGGGTAAGGGGGTTATACTGGTTTATACTGGTTTATACTGGTTTATAATGGGGTATAATGGGGTTATAATAGGGTATAATGGGGTTATAAGCGGGGCCCCAGTTCGCTATGGGCAGTGCTGGGTGTTCGCGGGGGTCATGACAACCGGTAAGTGGGGTTATACTGGTTTATACTGGTTTATAATGGGGTATACTGGTGTATACTGGTTTATACTGGGGGGTAATGGGGTTATAATGGGGTTATAAGCGAGGCCCCAGTGCGCTATGGGCAGTGCTGGGTGTTCGCGGGGGTCATGACAACCGGTAAGTGGGGTTATACTGGTGTATACTGGTGTATACTGGTGTATACTGGTGTATACTGGGGGGTAATGGGGTTATAATGGGGTTATAAGCGAGGCCCCAGTGCGCTATGGGCAGTGCTGGGTGTTCGCGGGGGTCATGACAACCGGTAAGTGGGTTTATACTGGTTTATACTGGTTTATACTGGTGTATACTGGTTTATACTGGGGGGTAATGGGGTTATAATGGGGTTATAAGCGAGGCCCCAGTTCGCTATGGGCAGTGCTGGGTGTTTGCGGGGGTCATGACAACGGGTAAGTGGGGTTATAGTGGTTTATACTGGTTTATAATGGGTTATAATGGGGGGTAATGGGGTTATAATGGGGTTATAAGCGGGGCCCCAGTACGCTATGGGCAGTGCTGGGTGTTTGCTGGGGTCATGACGACCGGTAAGTGGAGTTATACTGGTTTATACTGGTTTATAATGGGTTATAATGGGGGGTAATGGGGTTATAATGGGGTTATAAGCGAGGCCCCAGTACGCTATGAGCAGTGCTGGGTGTTTGCTGGGGTCATGACAACCGGTAAGGGGGTTATACTGGTTTATACTGGTTTATACTGGTTTATAATGGGGTGTAATGGTGTATAATGGAGTTGTAATGGGGTTATAATGGGGTTATAAGCGGGGTCCCAGTTCGCTATGGGCAGTGCTGGGTGTTCGCTGGGGTCATGACAACGGGTAAGGGGGTTATACTGGTTTATACTGGTTTATAATGGGTTATAATGGGGTATAATGGGGGGTAATGGGTTGTAATGGGTTATAATGGGGTTATAATGGGGTATAATGGGGTTATAAGCGGGGTCCCAGTTTGCTATGGGCAGTGCTGGGTGTTCGATGGGGTCATGACAACGGGTAAGGGGGTTATACTGGTTTATACTGGTTTATAATGGGTTATAATGGGTATAATGGGGGGTAATGGGTTGTAATGGGTTATAATGGGGTTATAATGGGGTATAATGGGGTTATAAGCGGAGCCCCAGTGCGCTATGGGGACCATGGGTAAGGGGGTTATACTGGTTTATACTGGTTTATAATGGGTTATAATGGGGGGTAATGGGGTATAATGGGGTTATAATGGGGTTATAAGCGGGTCCCCAGTTTGCTATGGGCAGTGCTGGGTGTTTGCTGGGGTCATGACAACTGGTAAGGGGGGTTATACTGGTTTATAATGGGGTGTAATGGGTTATAATGGGGTGTAATGGGGTTAATGGGGTGTAATGGGGTTAATGGGGTGTAATGGGGTAAATGGGGTTATAATGGGGTATAATGGGGTTATGATGGGGTATAATGGGATATATACATTCGGGTATTTTCGGTTATACTGGGTTATACTGGGTTATGCTGGGTTATGCTGAGTTATATTGGGTTATAATGGGTTATACTGGGTTATATTGGGTTATACTGGGTTATGCTGAGTTATATTGGCTTATAATGTGTTATAGTGGGTTATACTGGGTTATACTGGGTTATATTAGGTTATAATGGGTTTTAATGGGTTATACTGGTTTATACGAGTTCATGTTGGTTTATACCAGTTATACTGGTCTAAAGAGGGTATATTGGGTTACACTGGGTTATAGTGTGTTGTATTGGGTTATACTGCTTTATACTGGGTATACTGGTCGATAGGGTGTATGTTGGGTTATATTGTGTTGGAACAGGTTATATGGGGTTGTAATGTGTTATACTGGGTTATAGTGGGTTATACTGGTTTATAATTGTTCTAGTGTGTTATATTGGTTTATACTGGTTTATACTTGTTTATACTGGTTATACTGCTTATACTGGTTTATAGCGGTTTATACTGGTTTATACCGGTTTATACCGGTTTATACTGGTTATACTGGTCTATACTGGTCTATACTGGTTTATACTGGTTTATACTGGTTTATACTGGTTTATACTGGTCCCGGCAGTGCTGCGGTGCCTGGGGCTGCCCACCCGCACAGTGACCAACTACAACTCGGCGCACGACACCGACGTCTCCCTCACCACCGACATCTACCTGGACGAGAGCATGAAGCCCATGGAGCGCCTCAACACCGACTCCGTCTGGTACTGGGTTATACTGGTTTATACTGGTTTATACTGGTTTGTACTGGTTTGGGGTGTTTAGGGGGCTTTTGGGGTGCTTTAAGGGGGTTTATGGTGGTTAGGAAGCCCATGGAGTGAATGAGCACTGATTTGGTGTGGTACTGGTTTATACTGGTTTGTACTGGTTTGGGGGTTTTAGGGGGGTTTAGGGGGGTTTATGGGGGTTTATGAGGGTTAGGAAGCCCATGGAGTGAACGAACACTGATTTGGTGTGGTACTGGTTTATACTGGTTTATACTGGTTTGTACTGGTTTGGGGGTTTTAGGGGGGTTTAGGGGGGTTTCGGGGGGTTTATGAGGGTTAGGAAGCCCATGGAGTGAATGAGCACTGATTTGGTGTGGTATTGATTTATACTGGTTTATACTGGTTTGTACTGGTTTGGGGGGTTTGGGAGGTTTTATGGGGATTTATGGGGGTTTATGGTGGTTAGGAAGCCCATGGAGTGAATGAGCACTGATTTGGTGTGGTACTGGTTTATACTGGTTTGTACTGGTTTGTACTGGTTTGGGGGTTTCGGGGTGGTTTGGACTGCTTTATACAGCTATAGCATGGTTTGGGGTGGTTTCTGCTGGTTATACTGGTTTATACGGGTTTATACTGGTCCATACTGGTCCATACTGGTACTGCAGGAACTTCCATGTGTGGAACGACTGCTGGATGAAGAGGCCCGACCTCCCCGCGGGCCATGATGGGTGGCAAGTGGTGGATGCCACCCCCCAGGAGACCAGCAGTGGTACGGCAGGCACTGGGTTATACTGGTTATACTGGTTGTAATGGGTTATAATGGGGTATAATGGGGTGTAATGGGGTATAATGGGGTATAATGGGGTATAAAAGGTTATAATGGGGTGTAATGGGGTTATAATGGGGTATAATGGGTTGTAATGGGGTATAATGGGGTTATAATGGAGTATAATGGGTTATACTGGGGCTATAATGGGGTATAATGGGTTTTAATGGGGTGTAATGGGGTTATAATTGGTTATAATGGGGTTATAGTGGGGTGTAATGGGGTTATAATGCGGTGTAATGGGGTTATAATGGGCTATAATGGGTTATAATGGGGTGCAATGGGGTTATAATGGGGTATAATGGGGTTATAATGGGGTATAATGGGATTATAATGGGTTATAATGGGGTTTTACTGGGGTTATAATGGATTACATTGGGTTATACTAGTCCATACTTGTCTATACTGGACCATACGGGTTCATGCTGGTCTACAACTATACTGGTCTGTACCAGTCTGTATGGGCCTACATTGGTCCATACTGGTCCAAAAGCTCTATACTGGTTTATACTGGTCCATACTGGTCCATACTGGTTTATACTGGTCCATACTGGTTTATACTGGTTCATACTGGTCCCTTTAGGGCTGTTTTGCTGCGGGCCCTGCTCCGTGGAGGCGGTGAAGAACGGGGAGGTGTTCCTCAAGTACGACACCCCCTTCGTGTTCGCCGAGGTAATGAGCGCTAATGAGGGGCAATTAGCGCTAATGAGGGGTAATTAGCGCTAATCAGCTCCATTAATTACCACTAATTACCCCGTTAATTACCGTTAATTCCACCCATTAATTACCGCTAATTATCCTCATTTATTGCCGTTAATGACCCTATTAATTCCCGCTAACTACGCCATTAATTACCGCTATTTACCCTTATTAAGTGCCACTAATTACCCTCATTAATTACGGCTAATCACCCCATTAATCACCACTACTTATCCTCGTTAATTGCAGCTAATTGCCCCCATTAATTACCCATTAGTTACTGCTAATTACCGCATTAATTACCCCCATTAGTTACTCCATTAGTTACCCCATTAATAATTTAATTCCCCCATTAATAATTAATCAGGTTAATAGTGACAAGGTGTACTGTCATTACCCCTCTTTCATTGCCCTCATGCATTAACACGAATCATCGCTAATTACCCTCATTAATAACCGCTAATTACCCCCATTAATTACCGCTAATCACCCCATTAATTACCGCTAATTATCCTCATTATTTACCGCTAAGTACCCTCATTAAGTAACACTAACCAACCACAATAATTACTGCTAATTACCCCCACTGACTCCCGCTAATTACCCCATTAATTGACATTAATTAACCACAATAATTACTGCTAATTACCCCCACTGACTCCCGCTAATTACCCCATTAATTACCCCATTAATTAATTACTCCATTAATTCCCCCATTATTAATTCCCCATTAACTAATTACCCCATTAATTAATTACCCCATTAATTCCCCCATTATTAATTCCCCATTAACTCATTACCCCATTAATTAATTACCCCGTTAATTAATTCCCCCATTATTAATTCCCCATTAACTAATTACCCCATTAATTAATTACCCCATTAATTCCCCCATTATTAATTCCCCATAACTAATTACCCCATTAATTACCCCATTAATTAATTACCCCATTGATTAATTACCCCATTAATTCCCCATTATTAATTCCCCATTATTAATTCCCCATTAACTAATTACCCCATTAATTAATTACCCCATTAATTCCCCCATTATTAATTCCCCATTAACTAATTTTGCCATTAAATAATTACCCCCATTAATTAATCGCCCCATTAATTTCCCCATTATTAATTCCCCATTAACTAATTACCCCATTAATTAATTACCCCCATTAATTAATCACCCCACTAATTCCCCCATTATTAATCCCCCATTAATTGACTGATTCCCCCACTAATCCCTGGTTATTAGTCAGTTATCCCCCCATTCCCCCCATTCCCAGGTGAACAGTGACAAGGTGTACTGGCAGCGCCAGCCCAACGGCACCTTCGCCGTGGGTTATTGCTCAGTTAACCCCCCATTCCCCCCCATTACCCCCCATTCCCCCCCATTCCCCCCCATTCCCCCCCATTCCCCCCCATTCCCCCCCCATTCCCCCCCATTCCCCCCCATTACCAGGTGAACAGTGACAAGGTGTACTGGCAGCGCCAGCCCAACGGCACCTTCGCCGTGGTGCACGTGGAGGAGGGCGCCATCGGGCGCCGCATCAGCACCCTGGCGCCCGGCTCCGGCGCCCGCCTCGACATCACCCATCTCTACAAGCACCCCGAGGGTAGCCAATGGCAGCGCGGGTTCTATGCGGCGGGGGCGGGGGGAGCCAATGGGGAGAGAGGAGAGGGAGGGGGTGGCCAATGGGGAGGGGGGTGAGGGGGGAGGGAGGTGGTGGGTGTTGGGTAAAGGGGAAGTAATGGAGGCCATTGACTGACATTGAGCCCCATTGAGCCCCATTGACTGCCATTGATCCCCATTGATCCCCATTGACTCCCATTGAGCCCCATTGCCCTCCATTGTCCCCCATTGACGCCATTGACTCCCATTGACCCCCATTGACCCCATTGACCCGATTGACCTCTCTTGACTCCCATTGCCCCCATTGCCCCCCATTGACCCTATTGACGCCCATTGACTGCCATTGAACACCATTGACCCCCATTGACTCCCATTGACTGCCACTGACCCCCATAGAGCCCCATAGAGCCCATTGACTGCCACTGAGCCCCATTGACCTCCATTGCCCCCATTGACTCCCATTGAGTCCCATTGACCCCCATTGATCCCATTGACCCCATGGAGTCCCATTGAGTCCCGTTGAACCCTATTGACTCCCATTGACTTGTTGACCCCCATTGCCCTCATTGACTCCCACTGACCCCCGCTGACCCCCATTGCTCCCATTGCCCCCATTGACCTCCATTGACGCCCATTGCACCCCACTGCCCCCCACTCACCCCATTGCCCCCCATTGTTGCCATTGCCCCCATTGACCCCCATTGCCCCCATTGACTCCCATTGACTCCCATTGAACTCCCATTGACTCCCATTGAGTGCCATTAAGTCCCATTGCCCCCATTGACCCCATTGACCCCCATTGATCTCCATTGACTCCCATTAACCAGCATTGACCTCATTGACCCCATTGACTCCCATTGACTCTCATTGACTCCCATTGAATCTCATTGACTGCCATTGAGTCCCATACACTCCCATTGAGCCCATTGACCCCATTGACTCCCATTGTCCCCATTGCCCCCCATTGACCGCCATTGACCCCATTGACTCCCATTGAGTGCCATTAAGTGCCATTGACCCCCATTGACCCCATTGCCCCCCATTGCCCCCCATTGCCCCCCATTGACCTCCATTGACTCCCATTGACTGCCATTGACCTCATTGACGCCATTGACTCCCATGACTCTCATTGACTCCCATTGACTCTCATTGACTCCCATTGACTTCCATTGAGTCCCATACACTCCCATTGTCCCCATTGCCCCCCATTGACCCCATTGACCCCCATTGACTCCATTGAGCCCATTGACTCCCATTGACACCCATTGAGTCCCATTGACCCCATTGACCCACAATGGGTCCCATTGACCCCATTGACTCCCATTGCCCCCCATTGCCCCCCATTGACCCCATTGCCCCCCATTGCCCCCATTAACCCCATTGCCCCCATTGCCCCCATTAACCCCATTGCCCCATTCACCCCATTGACCCCATTGCCCCCATTGCCCCCCATTGCCCCCCATTGACCCCATTGCCCCCCATTGACCCCATTGACCCCCATTGACCCCATTGACCCCCATTGACCCCATTGACCCCATTGACTCCCATTGACCCCATTGAGTCCCATTGACCCCATTGACCCCAATGGGTCCCATTGTCCCCATTGACTCCCATTGTCCCCCATTGACCCCCATTGACCCCATTGACCCA